AATACTCAGAAATCAAAGGCACTTTTTGTACAGCAACAATAAAATATCAGAAACAGAAATCAGGAAAAAATCTCATTTGCTATAGGCAACAAGAAAAACATAATACCTTGGAATAAACCTAACCAGGGAGGTAAAAGACCTGTACGCAGAAAACTATACAATGTGAAGAAAGAAATTAAAGAACACACAAACAAATGGAAGCATGTACCATGTTCATGGATTGGAAGAATTAACATCATCAAAATGTCCATACTACCCAAAGCAATTTATAAATTCAATGTAATCCCTATTAAAGTACCAATGACATATTTCACAGATATAGAACAAACATTTCAGAAATTTATATGGAACCATAAACAACCACGAATAGCTGCAGCAATTTTGAGAAAGAAGAACAAAGTAGGAGGGATCACCATACCTGATACCAGACCGTATTATAAGGTCACTGTATTCAAAACAGCCTGGTACTGGCATCAGAACAGGCACATAAACCAATGGAACAGAACAGAGAGCCCAGAATTAAACCCAAGTGTTTATGGTCAATTAATATTTGACAAAGGGGAAAGAAGCTTAAAATAGGGTAAAAATAACCTCTTCCACAAATGGTGTTGGGAGATCTGGACAGCTACATGCCAAAATATGAAACTTGATCGCCAACTTACACCATATACAAAAATAAATTCAAGTTGGGTAAAAATTTTTAATAAAAATTGTGATACTTTAAAGTCTTAGAGGACAACATCAGCAGGAAAATCTCAGATATTTTATGCAGCAATATCTTCACTGATACGTTTCCTAAAGCAAGGGACATAAAGGAAAGAATAAACAAATGGGGTATCATAAAATTAAAAAGCTTCTGCATGGGTAAAGAAAACAGCATTAAAATTAAAAGAGAATCAAGTATATGAGAAAACATATTTACCAATGATACCTCAGACAAGGGTTTGATCTCCAAAATATATAAAGAACTCACACAATTCCACTGCAGGAACACAAACAACCCCATTAAAAAATGGGCAAAGGATTTGAACAGACACTTCTCCAAGGAGAACATACAGAGGATCCAGAGATATATGTAAAGATGCTCTGCATTACTAGCCATTAGAGAGATGCAAATTAAAACTTCAATGAGATACCAATTCTCACAGATCAGAATGGCCATCTCAAACAAATCAACAAACAAGTGTCTGAGAGAATGTGGGGAAAAGGGAACCCTAGTGCACTGTTGGTGGGAATGCAGACTGGTGAAGCCACTGTGGAAAACAATACAGAATTTCCTCTGAAAACTAAAAATGGAACTGCCTTTTGACCCAGCAATTCCACTGCTGGGATTATATCCTAAGAGCCCTGAAACACCCATCCAAAAGAACCTATGCATCCTAATGTTCACAGCAGGACAATTTACAATAGCCAAGTGCTAGAACCAGCCTAAGTGTCCATCAGTGAATGAGTGGATCAAAAAACTATGGTACAACTTCCGGCCAAATTGGAGGCATAACGAGACACACTATGTATCCTTGTACAACCAAAAGAAGGACAACAGCAATTTAAAACAAAAAAACAATCAGAACTGACACAAAATAGAAGTGTATGGAAGTCCGACAACCAAGAAGTTAAGAAGAAATATTCATCAAGATGGGTAGGAGGGGTGGAGATGGGCGGCCGGGCAGAAAGGACCAGAGGCAAGGCGGTGGCTGGGCGGCAAGGCGGTGGCTGGGTGGCAAGGCAGTAGCAGGCAGACCTGGTGAAGTGGGGAACTGTGGACTCAGTAGTCCCACATTTGAGTGCAGAAAAACTGGAAGAAACAACTGGGGAGCATGACAGTCTGCTCAACCCAGGGCCCCAGCACAGGGAAATAAAGCTTCAAACCTCTGCTTGAAAACACCTGTAGGGGCTCAGGAGGCAGCAGGAGAAACTCCTAGCTTCACACAGAAGAGTTTGTTGGGGAGACCCACAGGGTTCTAGAACATACACAAGCAAACCCATCCAGGAAATCAGCACCAGAAGGGCCAAATTTGCTTGTGGGTAGCGGGAGAAGTGACTGAAATCCAGTAGAGAGTAAAGCAAGCGCCATTGTTCCCTCTCAGACCCCTGCCCCACATACAGTGTCACAACCCAGCAAACGTAGGTTGCCCCGCCCTGGTGAACACCTAAGGCTCTGCCCCTCACTATGTAACAGGTGTGTCGAGACAAAAACAATGGCCCAAATGAGAGAACAGATCAAAGCTCCAGAAAAAAAATACAACTAAACAATGAAGAGATAGCCAGCCTATCAGATGCACAGTTCAAAACACTGGTAATCAGGATGCTCACAGAATTGGTTGAATTTGGTTGCAAATTAGGTGGGAAAAAAATGAAGTCTATTCTGAGTGAAATAAAGAAAAATGTACAGGGAACAAATAGTGATGGGAAGGAAACTGGGACTCAAATTGAGGGAGTGGACCAGAAGAAAGAAAAAAATGACCAAACAGAAAAACAATGAAGAAACAAGAATTCAAAAAACTGAGGAGGGGCTTAGGAACCTCCAGGATATCTTTAAACGTTCCAATACCCAAATTATAGTGGTACCAGAAGTGGAAGAGGAAGAGCAACAAGTTGAAAACTTATCTGAACAAATAATAAAGGAGAATTTCCCCCATCTGGCAAAGCAAATAGACCGCCAGGAAGTCCAGGAAGCTCAGAGAGTCCTGAAGAAGTTGGACCCAAGAAGGAACACACCAAGGAACACCATAATTACATTAGCCAAGATTAAAATGAAGGGGAGAATCCTAGAAGCAGCAAAAAACAGGAAGGCAGTTACCTACAAAGGAGTTCCCATCAGACTGTCAGCTGATTTCTCAAAAGAGACCTTATAGGGAAGAAGGAGCTGGAAAGAAGTATTCCAAGTCATGAAAGGCGAGGACTTAGAACCAAGATTGCTCTATCCAGCAATGCTTTCATTTAGAATGGAAGGGCAGATAAAGTGCTTCTCAGATAAGGTCAAGTTGAAGTTCATCATCACCGACCCCCAATTATATGAAATGTTAAAGGGATGTTTATAATTTCATATAAAGGGATAATGTTTCTTATCTAAGAAAAAGATGTATAGTAAAATGACAGCAAACCCACCATTATTAACAACCACACCTAAAGCAAAAACAAAAGCAAACAACTAGAACAGGAACAGAACCACAGAAATGAGGATCACATGGAGGGTTATCAGAGGGGAGCTACAGGAAGACAGAGGGGGAGAAGGTACAGAGAGTAAGTAGCATAGATGGTAGGTAGAAAATAGACAGGGGGAGAGTAAGAATATTATGGGAAATGTAGAAGCTAAAGAACTTGTAAGTATGACATGCGGACATGAACTAAAGTGGGGGAATGTGTGTGGGAGGGGATGTGGAAGGGAGTGAAGGGGGGAAAGGGGACAACTTGTAATAGCATAATGAATAAAATATATTAAAATATAAAATAAATAAAGTGCCTCAGTTATACCACACACATGCACAAAAACAAAGTATAGTATTCATTTACACAATGGAATACTACACAGCAGAGAGAAAGAAGAAGCTCTTCCACCCTTTTGTGACAGCATGGTTGAAAATGGAGAGCATTATGCTAAGTGAAACAAGCCACGTGGTGAAGGACAAATACCATATGATCTCATGTTTAATTGGAACATAATCAACAAAAGAAAAAAGCAAACAAAATATAACCAGAGAAATTGAAATTAAGTACAATCTAACAATAACCAGAGGGGATGGGGGAGGGAACAATAGTGGGAAGGGTTTGCAGGAAGTACTATAAAGGCCACCTGGACAAAACCAAGGGGGAGGGTGGAAGCAAGGGAGGGAAGTGTGTTTGGCTTGGGTTCAGTGGAGTGGTAGGAGAAAAATGCAGACAACTGTAATTGAACAATAAAATAATTTTTAAAAAGACCACTCACACTCAAAGATGATTATTTTAAAGATTATTATTTTTCATATTGTCTTGTTTTTTCACTAGTAACTTTATAGTTTTATTGTTGATATTTACATCTTTGCTGCATGTGAAGTTAATTTAAATGTGAGAAACAAGATAAGGGTCTACCTTTCTGGTTTTTTTCCAGGTGATTATCTATTTATCCCAATATATCGTATTGAAAATATTATGTTTCTTCCACTAAGATAAAACCTACTTTTACCATATATAAATCTTTTACTTTTTATTGAACTCTTTATTCTGTTCACTCATCCATTTATATACCACCTCGCCGCTTTAATATAGCTTTAAAATACATTTTTACTGTGTGCCTGGTTAATCCTCCCTTGTTACTCTTCTTTTCAGAATTATCCTGACAATGTTAAATTTTTAGAAAAATGTGTGCTGTAGAATTAGCTTTTTATTTCTTTTAATAATATCTCATTAATACTTTTACTATGATACCACTAAATTTATTGGTTAATGCAAGGAAAATTGGCATCCTTCTGATTGGTGCAAGTATCTTCTGGGTCCCTCAATGGCTGTGTAAAGTTTTTTCCTGGTGGATCTTGTATGACTCTTTTTAAGTTTCTTATTAGGTATTAATTATAGTCCAGATTCAATCATATTTTCCCTTGCTTTTTATGACTTCAGTTTCAGCCCTAATACTAAAAAGTTATTCAAAGCAAACAGAAAATTACAGTGATGTATTGAATTGTATCTGGACATTCTAATTAGACCTTTTTTTTTTAAGTTTTGGACTATCCCTAGATCAAACACACATGGAAAACTCATTAAATAGATAATGACCTTCTTCCTATGGTGCTGTTGTCAAGAACAATTCATACCCATATACTATACTTAAAATAAATATAATAATAAACACATCATTTAAATTATATACTCATAATTTAAAGTGTTTAATTTCATCTGAAATGCAGTTAGCTGGGTGACTTTAACTGAAGAGACTCATGTCATATATGAAAAAAACTGAAAAGAAGGAAGACACTTCACATTTGTAGGGCTGAAAAACTTGACAAGAGAAGATGGCACACTCTTACCGGGACAGGATTCCCACAAAGCTCCGCACAGGAGAGCCGTGCAGCAAGGGCTTCACAGTGCCCAGCTGGCTCAGAAACTCTGTGCTTTCATTCACTCTTCCAACTCTAAATATCTGCAGGATGTCCACTGGTGTTTTACTGTATGAATTAGAAAAAAAAACCCTTGAGGTTACATAATTGACAGCAAAGTGAAAAATCATTATTAGCGACAGAAACCACAAAATAGCCCAAACATCTGCCGCAATGAATCACAACACATTATGTCTTGGAAATATTATACAGCCATTATAAGCCATTAAAAACCATGCTAAAAAATAAATAAGGACATGAAGTAAAACTTACAGTAAAATATAAATTTTAAAAGTATGTTACAAGGCACTGGCTGACAAGATTATTTGGTTAGAGTGCTATCCCAATCCATCAAGGTGGTGGGTTCAATCCTTGGTCAGGGCGCTTAAAAGAATCAACTGATGAATGTATAAATAAATGGAACAACAAATCAATGTTTCTTTCTCTTTCTCTCTGTCTTTCTTCCCCTCTGTCTAAAATATTTTTCAAAAAAGTAGACTACAAAACCTACTGATTCCCAATTTTGTCATATACTATATAAAATACACAGGTTGAATGAGCCCATTCATTCATTCATGCATTCATTATATAAGGAGACTGTGTGCCAAGTATTCTGCCAGCCACTGGAAGTAAGATACCATGGTCTCTTGCTTCATGGAGCTTACATTCTAATGAGAGACAAAAATCAGTAAGTTAACAAATGCCTAATTTTAAGTGCTTCTGAAGAAAACAACCAGGTTCAGAGAGAGGTGGTCAAGAAAGGCCTCTCTTTGGAGATGACATGTATTGCAATGCAGTACATATTTTTGAGATCTAACTGCCTCTTATGGGAAAACATATTGGACAGGGCAGGAGTGGCAAGAACATCAGGAAGCGTGTCTTGACTACAGACAAGACAACAGTGGTCTGCACTAAAGGTGGCAGCAACGTAAAGGGAAGCCAATGGATTAAAGATATTTGGAAGCAGAATGGACAGAGAACATGGTGATGTGAGGATAAGGGAGAAAGACTTATCAAAGGTCAGGTGGGTGGCTAAGATGGGGGACCATGGGAAAAAACTAGAGGTACCACTGAGGGAAAGAGTTGTGGGTGCCGAGGGGTTATAAGAGCTTATTGAACAAGTCTTCCCAGCTCCATGCTCAATGATGTCAAGTGGTGTAAATATTCCTACCATAGCTCATGACAAAAGTCAGCAAATATTACAAATCAGGACTTTTATTCAGAGCACACTAGTCTACCAGCATACCACTGGATAAAGTGAAGAACCAGAAATTCAGTTAGAGATATGTTCTACATCAAAGTGTCTACAGTAGTTATATAATCGCTGGGCTATCTCAGTGGTAAGATATGAGGCAATCTTTAATCCTCTTCATGTTTTTACACAGTTTCTAAACTTTCAGCAAAGTAAAAATTTCAGAACAAAAATTAATATGAAAAAATCATTACTAGTGAAATGAAATGAAGAAAATCTAATTTTTCCCAGCAGCAGAATCTCTCCCTAAGAGAAGCCCACCTTTGAGGGGTGGGATGGCAAGATCTCCAAGGGCTTGCCTGACTTGTATTAGGTGGTCAAACTGTACTCCCTTCTCAGGTCTTCCCTTTGACTCCATGGGAAAAGCCAGTCACCCCTCCTGATTCTACCTTCACTGTCACTAGTTCTTCATTAGTATTAGATCACAGCAGAAATCGAGGGAAGGGTCAAAGGTCAAACCAATAGAAATAAAAATAATTTGATTATATATAAAAGCAAAATCTGGAAAGGCTCTAAAGAATGGATTTTTAAAAATTGAGGCAAAATTCACATAACATAAATTTAACTATTTTGATGTGTACAGTTCAGTGGTATTTGCTACACTCAAAATGTGCAATCACCACTGTCTAGTTCCTAAACATTTCATCACCCAAATACCACATACTCATTTAGCAGTCAGCCTCCATTCCTCCTTTCCTGAGACCAGGCAGCTTGCTTTTTGTCTCCATGCATCAGATTTATCTATTCTAGACATTTCATACAAATGGAGTCATACAATATGTAGTCTTTTCTGTCTGGCTTCTTTCACTCAGCATCATGGTTTCAAGGTTGATCTGTGTTGCATCATGTGTCAGTGCTTCATTCCTTTTAATGGCTCAGTAATATTCCACTACATGTTTATATGTCCTATTTTTTGTTATTTGAATCATTCACCCATTAATGGATATTTCAGTTGTTTCCACCTTTTGGTTTTTGAATGGTGCTACTGTGAACATTCATGAACAAGTATCTGTTTGAGTACTTATTTTCAGTTCTTTTGGGTCTGCAACTAGGGTGGACTTGCTGAGGCACATGATCATTCTGTGTTTAATTTATTGAGCAATAGCCAAATAGCAGCTGTGCCACTTTACATTCTACAAGCAATGCGTGAGGGTTCCTATTTCTCTGCATTTTTGTCAACACTTATAATTTACCACTTTAAAAAATATAACCTTCTTAGTGTGTGGAAGTGGTATTGGGAATGGAATTTAAAGATTACCACCCAAGGAAGACAGAACATATTTTGAGATAGGTCTGAATCCATCCACAGGAAGGAGCGGCTGGTCTGGCTCGAGTAGAGCGCCGGAAAACCAACTCCCAACAACAATGAGACCTATGCATGACCCGACTCGTGGCATTTGCAAATTTCCATGGTGTAAACTCTTGTACTAATGGTTTAACAATCAGTTAACAAAATTTCTAAAAATTTAACCACTGGTCCCCTCAAGCTGGTATGAAAGCTGCCATTCACCACTGTTGGCTCTAAGGTATGTGCAAGGCTGAAGCAGGTTTACCTGGATATTATCTGAGATTCAAGATGCCAGCAATGCCCAAAAGAAAGACTTCAGGCAGAGGGGTGCTGCCGTGGGTTGGAAGACCAAACCAATAAAAGTAGTCTCCACCCTTGAGAACAATCAATGAAAGTAATTTCTGAGCCTTTGAGGCTGGGTCCAGGCTCTTTGCTGAGGTGATTCCACAAAGGCCTTAACACCACTGAGGGCTGTCTGAGCAGCCGATCATCTGTGTTTGTTATTACTACTGCTGCCCCGGGTTGCAGAAGCACACCAGCACAGGAAACAGGAACATGCACAGTCAGTGAGGAAAGAGGTGACTGACATGGAGGGGTGCCATAGCTCTTATAAATTTTTGAGATGCTTATGCCGTAGAGTGGTCATTTTAGAAACTGTTACACACGTATTTTTGTATGTTAAAATCTTAATTTAAATTCATTTTATGATGTAACACCCTTCAAACAGAACCTTAAATGCCCTTTGATTTAAATTTTTTTAAAAACTTCATTTATTTATTTTTATTTAGAAAGGGAGGAAGGGAGGAAGAAAGAGAGAGACAGAAACATCGATGCAGGAGAAAACACTGATAGGATGCATTCTGTATTTGCTGCAACTGGGTACTGAACTCACAGCCGAGGCATGTGCCCTGACTGGGAATCAAACCTGTGACCTTTTGGTTTGTGGGCTGATGCCCAACCAACAGTGCCACACCAGCTGGGATGATTTAATTTTTTTTAATTTAATTCTCATTAAGATTTGGGAACCTTGAAATCCAAGTGGAATAGTAGGGAGTGTTTTCCAAGCATAGCACACTGCCTCATGGCCTATTATAAATACAGAAGAGCCCTGGCTGAGTAGCTTAGTTGGTTAGAGCATCATCCCCATGCACCAAGGCTGCGGGTTCGATCCCCAGTCAAGGCACATACATTGAATGCATAAGTAAGCAAAACAACAAATTAATGTTTTCCCAACCCCCTCTATCTTTTCCTCTCTTTCTCTAAAATCAATTTAAAAATTTTTAAAAACACACAGAGAAGAAGTAATTGGTCATCACAACACAGTTATCTTGTTACTGAGAATTCATGTATCTAGGTAATTGTAGCAATGATTCTTTCCAAATCTGAAATAACATTACAGAAGAACAGATCAAAATGCATTTCTTCATGCTTACCTGTGATTATTTTGCAACACCTCTTCTCTAAGTCTTAAAAACTCCTCTGTGTTCTGTCCTACATGCTCAATCTTGCATCGCAAAGCTCGGTATTTGGCAAGAGATGGTGGGTTAGGTTTGGAAAGATTAGTTTCACAGACATTAACCATGTCTCTTATTAGCTGTGGGTGGAAATGATACACAGATTTTAGAATTATCACATATCCATAAATTTACATTACATTTTCTCAAAAAGATTGGAAACATAAGCTTTATTCACCAAAGCTTTTGATTAATATCTGCCTGTATTGTAAGTAGCATATATTTTTTAAATTTTCATTCATCTTATTTATAGAGAGAAGGGAAGGGAGGAAGAGAGAGAGAGAAACATTAATCTGTGGTTGCTTCTCGCACACTTCCCACTAGGGACCTGACCAGCAACCCAGGCATGTGCCCTGACTGGGAATCAAACCAGCAACTCTTTGGTTCACTGGGCAACGCTCAATCCACTGAGCCACACCAGCCAGGACATGTAAGTGGCATATTAAAAGTAATATAGTTACTTCAGTGATAGCAAACTACAGGGTCTGGTAGAAGTAATGCCTGCTTGAGTGTGGTTGGTAGGGTAATAATATAGGTGTAATAATTTATAGTTTTAATTTGAACACTTCACCTAAAATGTCATATGGTGTGCTTGAGTGTGATATTGTTTTATTACAGAAGTACATGCTTAGGATTTTGTAATAAAAGATTTTGTAGTAAAAAGGGTCATTTCTCTCCATCTTTCTCCCTCCCTTCCCCTCTCTCTGAAAATGAATTTAAAAAATTTAAAAATCTTAAAAAATAATAATGGTGTACATGAGGACAGTACTTCATCATTCATAAAGTGTCTTGGGGTACATTATTCCTTTAACTATACTACAACACTGGACTTACTATTATTAGATCTCATTGTCTTCATTGTATAGATGAAGAAAGTGAGGCTCTAAAAAGTTAAATTAATTAATTGCTCATGATCCTGCAGTGAGGAAGGGAGAATGACAAAACAGGAACTCAGATCCACAGGCTGCAAATTCAATTCTGCTTAACAAAAAAGTCATTAAGTGTGTTCTGTATGGCATGCATTGTATTAGACTTGAAAGATACAAAGATGCATAGGACATGGGTCCCTTCCCCAAGTGGGAACCCAAGAAGATTAATATAGTTGTAGGTAATGGAGCTTGGAGGAGGGGACACAGCTCCTAGATAATCTGAATTAGGTTTAATTGAGAATTATGCTGCTTTTAGCATCTTTGGGAATAAAAAGGGTATTGCCACAAGTCTTTATATGCACCAACCATAAAATAAGGGATTAAGAAGTACAAAGTTCCAGTTACACACAAGGATGCAAAGTATACCACAGGGAATATAGTCAATAATATTATAATAATTATGCATAGTGCCAGGTGGGTACTAGATTTTTTGGAGTGATTACTTCGTTAGTTATATAAGTGTAATCGCTATGTTGGAGATATGAAACTAATATAATATTGTATGGCAATGGTAATTGAAAACTAAATTTTTTTTAAATGGATACATTTACCTAAATAGAAGTAAAAAAATTTCTGTGTGGTAGAGAACAAGTTAACTACCAGCAACATAGTCATCATAACCAAAGTAAAATAACCAAATAACTGCAGAAAATACTTGCAACTCATATCACAGATGAAGCTCCCTAACTTATAAAGAGGACCTAAAAATCATGAAGAAAATTACCAAAACCCAAAAGAAAAGAAGCAAAGGCCATGAGTAGACCGTTCACAGAAAAAGAAACACAAACATCCATTTTTTAACCATTTGAAAAGGTGCTCAGGCTCGCCACACAGAGGGGCCATTCCTATTGATAGATTGGTAAAGTCTGAAATTGACAAATACTCTGTTGGTATGAATAGAGAAATAGAAACTCATGCATTGGTGGTAGGAGGGCAGAACAGTATCACCCCGCCGTAAGGGAAGCAGACAAAGTCTATCACAGTTACATCCTTTAATCCAGCACACTGACTGCCGGCACCATATCCCAGAGCTACCACTACTCAGAAGAGATGACAAACATACATGGTTATTCTCTGTGGCTCTGTTTGTGATAGTGAAGTCCAGAAAGAAATGACATGTACAACAGGGGGTATGCCCTGCAATGTGGCACATCCCACAGTGAACTACTATGAAGATAATCCCCACGTACAGAACATTTGAAATGAGGGAAGTCGGTACAGAATGGCAAAGATTGTGCACTATTATTATTATTATTAAATATTATTCCACCCTCTATTTTTTAATATATTTTATTGGTTATGCTATTACAGTGGTCCCTTCCCCCCCTTCACTCCCCTCCACATCCCCTCCCACACACATTTCCCTGCTTTAGTTCATGTCCATGTATCATACTTATAAGTTCTTTAGCTTCTACATTTCCCATACTATTCTTGCCCTCCCCCTGTCTATTTTCTACCTACCATCTATGCTACTTATTCTCTGTACCTTCCACCTTTCTGACCTCCTCCCACTCCCTTGTTGCTAACCCTCATGTGATTTCCATTTCTGTGGTTCTGTTCCTGTTCTAGTTGTTTGTTTAGTTTGCTTTTGTTTTAGGTGTGGTTGCTAATAATTGTGAGTTTGCTGTCATTTTACTATACATGTTTTTTATCTTCTTTTTCTTAGGTAAGTCCCTTTAACATTTCATATAATAAGGGCTTGGTGATGATGAATGCCTTGAACTTAACCTTATCTGAGAAGCATTTTATCTGCCCTTCCATTCTAAATGAAAGCTTTGCTGGACAGAGCAATCTTGGGTGTAGGTCCTTGCCTTTCATGACTTGGAATACTTCTTTCCAGGCCCTTCTTGCCTGTAAGGTCTCTTTGGAGAAATCAGCTGACACTCTGATGGGAAGTCCTTTGTAGGTGACTGTCCCCTTAGCTCTTGCTGCTTCTAGGATTCTCTCCTTCATTTTAATATTGGCTAATGTAATGATGATGTGCCTTGGTGTGTTTCTTCTTGGGTCCAAATTCTTCAGGTCTCTCTGAGCTTCCTGGATTTCCTGGAAGTCTATTGCCTTTGCCAGATTGGGGAAGTTCTCCTTTACTATTTGTTCAAGTAAGTGTTCCACTTGTGGCTGTTCCTCTTCCACTTCTGGTACCCCTATAATTCGAATGTTGGAACATTTAAAGATGTCCTGGAGGTTCCTAAGCTTCTCCTCATTTTTCTGAATTCTTATTTCTTCATTCTCTTCTGGTTGGATGTTTCTTCCTTCCTTCTGGTCCACTCTGTTGATTTAAGTTCCAATTTCCTTCCCATCACTATTGGTTCCCTATGTATTTTCCTTTATTTCACTCAGAATAGACTTCATTTTTTCTCATCTAATTTGTGACCAAATTCAACCAATTCTGTGAGCATCCTGATTACCAGTGTTTTGAACTGTGCATCTGATAGGCTGGCTATCTCTTCATTGTTTAGTTGTATTTTTTCTGGAGCTTTGATCTATTCTTTCATTTGGGCCATTTTTTTTTTTTGTCCCGACACACCTGTTACATAGTGAGGGGCAGAGCCTTAGGTGTTCACCAGGGTGGGGCAACCCACATTCGCTGGGTTGTGACACCCTATGTGGGGCAGGGGTCTGAGAGGGAACAATGACACTTGCTCTGCTCTCTGCCAGATTTCAGTCACTCCTGCAGCTTCCCATAAACAAACTGGGCCCTTCTGGTGCCGATTCCCATGTGGGTGTGCTTGTGTAAGTTCTAGGACTTTGTGAGTGTCTCCAAGGAACTCTCCTGTGAGACGTGGAGTCTCTCCCGGCACTTTAACCCCCACAGGTGTTTTCAATTGGTGTTTTGAGGCTTTATTTCCCATGGTGGGACCCTAGGTTGCATGGTCCATCATGTTCCCCAGTTTTACCTGGTTTATCTGCGCATGAATGTGGGACCGCCCGGTTCTGCCAGCCACCTTGTGTGCCAAGTCCCTCCACAATCTGCCACCTTGCTGGATCTGCCCACTGCCACCTGCGCACCATGGGTTCACCAGCTGCTGCTTTTTTTTGCCATGACCCCTCTCCACCTGGCTGCCCGACTCTGCCCCTCCTACCAGTCTGGATAAAAATGTCTACTTTAACTCCTTGTTTGTTGGACTTCCATACAGTTAAATTTTCTGTCAGTACTGGTCGTTATTTTGTTTCTAAATTTTTGTTGTCCTTATTTTGGTCATACAAGGGGGCACAGTATGTCTACCTACGCCTCCACTTTGGCCGGAAGTCTCCACCCTCTATTTTATATAAATAATGTGCTATGTTTTTATTTGTATTGATTTGCATAAAGAAACTGGACAAAGACTAACAAGAAACTAGTAAAAATGTTTATCAGTGGAGATGGGTCAGAGGGGACAGTGTACAATAGAAACTGTTCTAAGTGTACTTTTTTAGTATTATTTGCATTTTAATTTATGTAGATACATTATCTTTTGAAAATATAAAATTTAAATTAAAAAGTATCTGGGTAGGCAGCATTCATACCCTCTCAGTAGCAAAACCATTGATAAAGGTTCTTCACTCTGGATGCAAGAATCGTAGAATTTACATTTGCAAGGGTCCTACATCATCTCATTGTTGATTCTTCACTGATTTGGGTTACAGACTCCTCTGAGAACCTGTTGAAAGCTATAATTTTCCCCAAATACATAGACATCTAGAAACTCCTCTGAAGTTTAGGTCAGGCGCCTCTTACCTTGGCTTAATCCCCTCAAGCATGAATAAGACAACTCAGAGCCAGAAAATCACATGAGTTCATCCAAGGTGGGGTAGACTATGGCTGCCTCCCTGCCATACTCCTTTTTGCTAACTGAGCCCTCCTCCCCCCACAGCTCGAGGGGAATGACCCATTTCTGAGCAGTCACATTAACACATTACCTCCATTTCCCCTGGCCAGTGACTGCCTCAGGAATGTATATAACTCAATTCTGACTAAAGAAATAAAAGTCTGTCGGGGCTTCCTCTAAGAGAAACCAAAACACATATTCAGGGTGGAATGCTATGAATTGTAGCTGTAAGTTGATGGAAAGGGGAGCCAAGCTGACAGAAGCTGTCATTTTACAGGCAGATTAGAGCTATAACCGTGAAGTGCACTGGAACAGCAGCCACCGTACACCTGGACTTCTTGTTATACAAGGTAATATGTGTCCTCATTGTTTAAGTCAGGGGCAACTTTGTGTTTCTTTGCAGAAAAAATTCAAGCTCATGTCGTGATCTGGAAAATTATTTTACAGGGCAGCAATTGTAAACATATTTGTAACTGTACTACTATTCCAACACCTTCCAGTTTGGAAATATGATTCAGATAACTTCCATGAGGACTGAAAACCTTCTAAAATGGCTCAGCAATTTATTTTTGTGCAAACTCAAGAGATAACTTCTGTGATTCAGTGTTAATTTGTTCATCAGATTTGAAAATACCCCTCCCCCAACAGATTTTAAACTAAATTCTATATTCCAGAGATTTACCTGGCAGAGGTCCTCTTTCTTGGCTAATAGTCTCAGGTTAACCTTTTCTGTTGTTGAACCTCTGTGAGGTATTAGTCTGTAGAACTCACTCATCATCTTTTGCAATTGCTCTTCTGTCTCTCCATTTTTCAGTGCTTGCTTTACTAGAAGGAGAATTCCCTCTGCCTTGCTCACCTTTAAACAGAAGGTGACATACTTATTAGAATTAGATCTTAATCATATAGAAAGTGAATAAATGTATAAAATAGCTAAAACAGTTTTTAGACATGTTGCAAATGTTGGTTTCCTGGACACCTGTCATAAAACAAACACGGTGTTTACTGGAGCTGTATCCTGGTGGTGATAACAACATCATGAGGAGTTTCCCAAACTGGCTTGGTTGGCTCAATGAGAGGGAAGAACCAGAGTGTGTGCTACATATGACCCATATGTCTATACCTACATATCCACAGAGAGAGGAGTACTCATGCAATGGTAGGAGACCTGCTTTTCACATGAGACATTTAGAAACATGTCAGAATTGAACTAGGAGCACATCCCACCAGAACATGTTTTGAATGACACAAGTTCTTTTTGGACTCTACCCCAGGAAACATTTTTGCCCTGAAATAAATTCATTTAATTCCATAGAGGAATCATCTGCATCATTTGAATATGAGAATGTACTTGTACAAGTTGGATCACTGAGAACATTTTCTTTCATCTACTCTTTTAATGGTATATAATTAAGAAGAGCAGTTTCTGGAGGGCTGGGAGCCTGCCTGCCTTCCCTTTGGAGGGTCAGAGGTACAAGGCTTTGAAGCAGGTACAATGGAGTAGATTAGGGTCTGATTAGGGATGAGAGGACCAAGAGCATCCATGTCTCTCAGGCCTGCTACAAACCTCCTGACCAAGAGGAGCAGGCCTCCTGATGAGCCAAGCTTTGATCAGCAATTATGCCTGACATTTTACACGTGGGAATGTCTGGTTTTCTTAAAAGCTTATCTCCCCTCACTGTGGACTGCTCCATGATAAGAAGAAAGAACAGGAATGCATCTAAAAAGAACTGAACTATTGCTAAACAGAAGTGGTGCCACTGAGGCTAAGCAACCAGGAAAGCAGATTTGTCAGGGTACAGGCTCTGTTTCAAGGACACACGTGACTCACATCATTAAGACTGATCCTGCTCATGGACTCAAGGAGTGTGTCCTCCAGGTGGCCCAGCGCCTCTGTCCAAATCATCTCCAGTAGATCGCTCACTTCTTGGCTCAGAGTACTTGAATGTATTACCTCCTCCAGTAGCAACTGCAACAAAATAGAAAAAAACAGAAAGTTTTCATGGGTAGGTTTATTTTTAATGGAGATGATCAGAGGTATGAGAATAATTACAGCCAAGAGAAGGCTGCTCACACCCAAGCAACTATTGATACTATGGGCCTCCGCTTTCTGTTCAGCTCTCCCTCCACCTCCTCCCTAAACCATCCCTCCTCTGCCTGCTCCTTCTCTCTTTTAGTCCCATTTTATTTTTCCTTTTGCCATTTTCTTCACTCTAAACTTTAAGCCTGCCAGTGGAATGAAGTTAAGTGGTATTAAGGGTGAAGGACCCCTGACTCCTAGCCCAGTTGTAGGGGAAACTTTGGAAAGTTGTGATGATCTGTTGCTGAAATAAGCCCTGAGTTTTGAGGCTCATCCTGGAACTCACTCCCCTCACAGCCTCCAAGCCTTTCTGTGGGTTCACTGTTCCTTTTCCTAACTCCCACTCTTCTCTCTGGCCAGTTTTTCATTTGCCATAAAGAAAACATTTCTCTTAAAAATAGTCATAACACAAAATAACATAAATAAATCAATCTTACTGCTTGCAATTTTTCAGATGCTAATTGGGTGGCTTCAGGGGTAAAAGATTCTCTTAGTAGAAATCCTTGTTTCTTCAGCTCTTCAATGTAATTTTCGTAGTACTCACTTGCATCCGCAGAGCTGTACTTTACAGAGAACTGATTTCTAGGCTGTGAATACAGTATGTAGCAAAAACGTGAGGATATGAGGATACGGTGACTTAGTGTCCATCTTTACTGAGTACCTACTATATACCATGGGGACAGGAACATAAACAGGGCATTAGATCCCTGGTACTGTCAAGGGAGTCACAACCCTGACAAACCTCCTGGACAGGATGCCTCGAACTTGGCAAAAAATATGTCATGTTCAAGTACTGCATTTAAGAAGGTAGAGTTTTGATTACTGAAAAAAATAAATATTTAAAATAAACCATTAAAAAACAAAATCTTTTTTAAAAAGGTGGAATTTAACATAATTTCCATCAAAATGGTTTAATAAAAGAGAAGTGTCTAGAAGAGAGTCTCTTCTGGAACAGCTCCTTCTCTGCTTGTTAAGTGAGGGTCGTTTCTATCAAGGTGAACAGACACGCCAAGGAGATTCACACGTTTGAAGAAGGTGCCCAGCAATGAGCCCTATAGAGAGCAGGAAGAGACATGCTGGCTTAGGTAGTGTCATCATTTTTTTCTCAATAAAGAAAAAAAACAATAACATTCTATCATTATTTCCAAGTTGATTTTTAGTTTTTACCCACACAACTAAATCCTCCATCAATATAGCCTACATGTTGAGGTGAAAGGTTAACAAAACCCTTTCCCCTTCATGGACACATCTGAACTTGGATTAACTTTTTATAGCTGTTCCCATGGAAACCTTTAAGGGTAGAGTGTCAGCTGTAATATTAGGCAAAATAGCTTTGGTAATAGTGACTTGTCAATCAATTGCATTGGGACTGGAAATTCAGTGAATGAACCATAAATAGTGAGGAAAGTTGTATAAGGGAAGTACAGACAATTCTGCCTGACCTGGAGGAAAACAGGGCCATGCCATTTCTAATATTCATGGGCAAACTACCAAATGCTAGAGAAGCACCCAGCATCCAGCCAGAGTTGACTGTGCTTCATGGAACAAACCCAGCTCCCGTAAGCAAGCTCAGGGTTCTGGTCCAGGAAAGGGCAGCCCCATCAGCCTGCTAACACAGGGAAGAGCACACACAGGCCAGGGCATGCACTTGTATGCAACCTAAAGACTTTGAACTTCAATTTTTACTTCTTATGATGAGGTGGTTAAAACAGAGCAGGGTAACCATTGTTATTTTCAAGATTTCATCCAGCTATGAAATTCCATATCTAAACTGTCAGGCCTACAGTTCAAGAGAGAAGGTAGCTTCCTTCCACCTTTAAATAAACAAAGAGTACAAAAGATCAGTTTACAATGCATGGGTTTTTTTTTTTCTGTCCCCTAGGAGCAACCCTTATGGGTGCCACTCCAGTGTTGACATACTGGAGAGTGATAGCAGTGCTTCTGGCAAACCTGCATGATGGGCTTCCCTGGGAGAAGTGACTCTAATAACAGGTACTTCGCTTAATTAAGGGCATCTCGACTGAGGCCCCGTTCTAAAAATCAGGGGCTTCTAAGCCAGGTGGATCTGCACCCACCTGACATGAGCCTCCTTCCTTGCCCAGAGCTAACCTTGGTGTGGGTGCAAAGCAAGTGTGCCCACAGCCTGAGTGAAATGCTGGGAGGACCACCGGCCCCACGGAGCAGCCCCCGTGCGTGCTGCTGTTTCCTGACTGTAGAATGTCTAACAACAGAAGACAGTCTGATGGTTTTATAGCATTTTCTTTGAACTTTAGGTATTAGTTCTGAATTTATTTTTGCTTCAGAGTTGTTTTAGGTTGGTCTCTACAAAGCCTTCCTTGCTGCTCAGAGCATACAACAGCTCACAGACATCTCACTGTCACAGTGGGTCACAGTCATAAATGTGTTGTTTCCTCCCGGGTGGCAATTTCTGAGGGGCAGGAGTAAGTATTCTTTATATTTGGATTCTGGCCTCTAGTAGAATAGTAGGTGTGGTACAGAGTAGGTGTGTGAATGGATTGCTTTGAAAAGTATACAAAGTTTCTGTGAGGGGCGCAGTACAGGGGTAAGAACCCTATACAGTGAGTGTCTTCCTCTGATGAGCCCCCCTGTGCTGCTCTGGTCAAGGGGTGCTGGGCTTATCCTGCTCTCCTTATCTGGCAATTTTCAAAAGGGAACACATTTTCACTTTTCAAACCTATGTACCAGGCAAAACAAAAAATATAAATAGATTGGCTGGTTCACTGGCCAATATTAAGGGAACGAGTTATGAACAAGGGTAGATAAACACACAGGAATTGATAGAAAGACCATTACCTCAGTGCCACCGGCCAGGAGGAAGTGTGCAGCTATGAGGAAGGCAGGGTCCCCTGGGTCTTGGGAGCACTGCAACTCCACCACGGCAGTTTCCTGACCTCCCTGGGGCCCCACCTAGAAAACAGCTTGGTCTATCATAAGCAGCTTTCATTAAACAGCAAATTCTATATGCCATTTTAAAAGGCTGATTATAAAACTAGTTCATGCTCATTGGACATATCATGCAGAAAATTCAAAAAGTTCAAAGAAAAAATTAAAATAAACTAGAATCATAGTATAGATATATAACCACTATTAATATTTAGGTATGTTTTGCTCCTGTATTTTTACTGTAGGTCTAGCTGTATATGTTTAAATGATACCACTTTTCTTAAGTATAGTTTATTGATTATACTTTTAGTTTCCCTAATTTCCCCCGTTTATCCCTGCTCTACACCCCCCAAACCTCCAGAATTCCCCCCTTAGTTCATGTCCATGGGTTGTACATAAGTTCTTTGACTTCTGTTTTCTATATCATTCTTAACCTCTCTCCATCTAGTTTATACCTACCAATTATGATTCTTATTCCCTGTACCTTTCCCCCCATTCTTCCCCTCCCTTTTCCCACTGAATACCCTCCATATAATGTCCATTTCTCTGATTCTGTTTCTGTTCTAGTTGTTTGTTTAGTATTTGTTGGGGTTTTTGTTTTTTTTTAGGTTCAGTTGTTCATAGTTGAGTTTGTTGTCATTTCAATGTGCATAGTTTTTGATCTACTTCAATTTCTTAGATAAGTCCGTTTAACATTTCATATAATAGGAGCTTGGTGATGATGAACTCCTTTAACATGACCTTCTCTGGGAAGCACTTTATCTGCCCTTCCATTGTAAATGAAAGCTTTGCTGGATAGAGTAACCTTGGATGTAGGTCCTTGCCTTTCATGACTTAGAATACTTCTTTAAGCCCCTTCTTGCCTGTAAGGTTTCTTTTGAGAAATCAGCTCATAGCCTTATGGGAACTCCTTTGTAGGTAACTTTCTCCTTTCCTCTTCCTGCTTTTAAGATTCTCTTTATCTTTAGTCTTGGGTAAGTTAAAGATGATGTGCCTTGCTGTGTTCCTCTTTGGGTCCAACTTCCTTGAAGTCTACTTCCTTCACCAGAATTGAGGAAATTTTCCTTCATTATTTGTTCAAACAAGTTTTCCATTTGGTGTTGTTCTTCTCCTCCTGGCACCCCTATAATTTGGATATTGGAATGTTTTAAGTTGCCCTAGAGGTTCCTAAACCTCTCTTCATTTTTTTTTTGAATTCTTGTTTCTTCATTCTGTTCCAGTTGGATGTTTATTTCTTCCTTTTGTTCCAAATTGTTCATTTGAGTCCTGGTTTCCTTCCTATCACTGTTGGTTCCCTGAATATTTTGCTTTATTTGGGTAGCCTTCATTTGTTCCTTCATTTTGCAACCAAGCTCAATCAGTTCTATGGGCATCTTGATTACCAGGGTTTTGAACTCTCCATTAGATAGATTGGCTGTCTCCTTGTCACTTAGCTCCTTTTCTGGAGTTTTGCTCTGTTATTTCATTCGGGCCATATTTCTCTGTCTCAGTGCTCCTGTGCAGTTGTAAGGGGGTGGGGCCTCAGGTATTCACCAGGGAGGGCAACCTTCCTTGCTCTGTTGTGGTGCTGCCTGGGGGGGAGGGGCCAGAGAGGAAACAATGCAGCTCCCCTGCTCCACTCTAGCCCACTTTCCAATGAACTGTAGTGTGAGACTGGGAGCTTCTCTCACCACAGAAACTGCCATATTCCAAGTCAGTTCTGAGTCTGAGCTTCCCTTTTAGCCGGCACTGCCCATGCAGTCTGCCACCTTGTGGGGGTTTCTCTCAGTGGGTCCCATCCACACAGTCCACCGCCTCGCCACAGGTTCTTACCAGTCTGATTGTCCAGGTTGACTGTTTCTTTAATTCCTTGATTGTCAGAGCTCTATGCAGTTTGATTTTCTGGCACTGGTGGTTTATTGATTTTAGATTGGTTGTTATCCTCCTTTTGGTTGTGCGAGGAAGTGAATGGTTTCTACCTACACCTCCATCTTGGACAGAACTGCCTAAATCACAGGTGGCAGACAGAAGGTCTGGGGGCTGAATCCGCCCTCCACCTTCTTTTATCTGTCCCAGCACCTAGTTTCTACCAATGGCAATGCTGATCTCTTGCTTATCTGTTAAGGAGTAGTTACATTTATACAGTTCTAAAATTACATTTGGCCCTTTGAAAATAACCATGAGGCTGATGTGGACCCTGGTGAAAATAAGTTTGATATCCCTGTCCTAAATGATACCACTTTTTATATATTCTTTAACACAGACAGTATGTCATTTTTTAGTTACATTTTATTAAATTACAAAAAATAAATAAATGGAGCATCATTTTGAGTGTTAAAGTTAATTTGCATTTGTGTGATATTGGAGAAAAAATTTTATTTTTATTTTAATGAAAAGTAATGGAAATTCAAGATGGTGTAAATATTTGTATCAAATCTCTTAAAATATCAGAAACTGTTAAAAACTGGGAGGACCTTTATTTTTAATGTTCTATTAATATTTTATTCTATTTATATTTGATTATAAGCATGTATTATTTTTACAATAACTACAAGCAATTACTTTTACACCAAAAATTAAACATTATAGTTTAAAATATAAAAATTTTCTTGACTATTAAAAATCAACTCATATATTAAGAAATATCATTCAGGACATGTATAATTTTTCAAATCAATGAGATAATTATCAAACAGGATGAACACTCGCAAGACATTCAGACAGCCTTTTTTTCCAAATAGAAATCAAACTCTTACTTTTTCCAAGATGTCATACTTCGCAACTTCAAAATCTTGAGGAAAATGAGGAATTTCAACATTCTCAATATAAAACCTGAAATTTGTACAATTAAAATTTTAATATTAAAATCCACTTTCAGACTAAACAAGATTTTCATACAATTTTTCTTATACTTCTAACTCCATTCAAAATGCACTGTCCGTCCCTAATGCCTCCTTAGATACTGTAAAAATAGTTAAAAGTTCTTGTGGAATGAGCTGGAGTCCTTTACATAATTCTAGAGCACTGATGTCTGCATCGAATAGTGGGGGTGGCACAAAGCACAGGCATAAAGGAAACAGGCCAGCATGTTGGACAAATCACAGCTCCTCCTAGACAGGCTGCCTGTATTCACTCTGAGATGGACCCTTAGACACCATGTCACTCCAGACAGGTCCACACGGCCCTGCACTACAGTCAACTCCCCTTAAAAATAAAGGCGTCAGACTTCTCATCATTTGTATTTCTGATTTTGATACTTATTCTCTCTTTTAGCATTACTATTAACAAATAGGGCAAAATGCGGTGCCTCTCTGAGACTGCAGTCTTGGGTATGCATTAAGAAGCCACTCAGAGCTTCGGACTGACATACACCACTTGGAAGGTTATAATTATTTCCATTTTTAAAAATATCAAGAGGAAAATAAGGAAGTCTCTCTAAATGCTATTCAGTAAGGTAACAGAGTGAGCAGACACATCGTATTTCATCTCCAGTGGTTTTTCTTTTTTCAAATCAGTGTCACAACTACATCTAATCTCTCAAATACTGAGAAGATAAAAATAATTATCACTGTACTAGTTGAAGTAAAATGTCTTAAATAAATAAAAATAAGGAGTTTGAAAAGCAACATACTACCAAAAGCAAAAGCAAAATTAAACTACCAAAAATACTGCTGTACTAATAGTATTTTAATGTTGTGCTTGAGGTTTGTAAAACATTTTGCAAACTGTCCAGTCTTAACGACAAGAAGTAGATTACTTAGTAAGTTTCACGATGCTCTCTGTCTCTGTGGCATTATCCAGGCAAAGCTTATCTGTCTTCACATCTAGAATTAAAACAAACAAAACACTTGTTTACTACTCAAGGTTTTATTAAAATTGGTTAACAATTTTGATTAAAACTGGTTAAATGCTGGAACTGTTAAGATTCTTTTTTTTAAAATTAATTTTATTTAGTTATTTTCAAGTACAGTTTTTTTGTCTATTTCTCCCATCCCAGCCTCCCCCGCCCCTTGCTCCCCACCTCCCTCCCATTTCCACCCCCCTTAGTTCTTATCCCTGTGTCCTTCCTATTTGTTCCTCCAAATCCCTCCCCCTTTTTCCCCTTTAACTTCCCTTCCCTCTCCCCTCTGGTCACTGTCCCCTTGTTCTCTATTTCAGTGTCTTTGGAACTGTTAAGATTCTTGAATGTGGAGCACGTTTGCCATGTTATTCTATTTTTTTAAAGTGTTCTTAGACTTCCATCCAAGATGGGGGTGTAGGTAGATATGCTTTGCTTCTTCACACAACCAAAAGAAAGACAACAGCCAATTTGAAAACAAAAAACAACCAGAACTGACAGGAAATAGAACTGTATGGAAGTCTGACAACCAAGGGGTTAAAGAAACATTCATCCGGACTGGTAGGAGGAGCGCAGACAGGCAGCCAGGATAGAGAGGACACAGGGCAAGGTGGCAGCTGGTGGACTGGGTAGGCAAGGCGGTGATTGGCATGCTGGGCAGTACCACATTCATGTGGTGATAAACCGGGAGAAACAACTGGGGAGCAAGACAGACTGTGCAACCCAGAGTTCCAGTGCAGGGACGTAAAGCCTCAAAATCTCTGTAAAAACCTGTGGGGGTTGCAATGGTGGGAGAAACTCCCAGCCTCACAGGAGAGTTGGTTGGAGGGACCCTCTGGGTCCTAGAACATACACAAATATACCCACTTGGAAATCAGCACCAGAAGGGTCCAATTTGCCTGAGGGTAGTGGAGGAAGTGACTGGAAACAAGAAGAGAGCCCAGCAAGTGACACTGTTCCTTCTCGGACCCCTCCCCTACATACTATGCCACAACAAAGCAAAGTGGGTTGCCCCACCACGGGGGATGCCTACAGCTCTGCCCCTTAAAATGTAAAAGGTACACTGAGACAGAGAAATACAGCCCTGATGAAAGAACAGATCAAAAGTCCAGAAAAAGAGCCAAGTAACAAGGAGATAAACATCAGATGCAGAGTTCAAAAACTGGTAATCGGGATGCTCACAGAAATGATTGAGCAGAGATGCAAAATAAAGAAGAAGTGAAGAATATAAAGTTTCTTTATATAGTTTCCCATATAAAGAAAAATATATGGGAAACTAACAATGAAGGGAAGGAAACTGAGACTCAAGTCAATGATTTGAAGCAGAAGGGAAAAATAAACATTCAACCAGAACAGAATGAAGAAACAATAATTCAAAAAAATGAGGAGAGGCTTAGGTACCTGTGGGACAACTTTGTACATTATAACATCTAAATCATAGGAGTGCCAGAAGGATAAAAGGAAGAGCAAGAAATTGAAAACTTATCTGGACAAATAATGAAGGAGAACTTCCTCAGTCCAGCAAAGGAAATAGACAGCAAATCCAGGAAGCTCAGAGAGTCCCAAAGAAGTTGGATTCAAGGAGGAAAACACCAAGACACATCATAACCCAAGATTAAAGATAAGGACAGAATCTTAAAAGCAAGAAGAGAAAACAAGAGAGTTAGCTACAAAGGAGTTCCCATGAGGCTATCAGCTGATTTCTCAAAAGAAACCTTGCAGACAAGAAAGGGCTAGAAAGAAGTATTCTAAGTCATGAAAGGACTCTATCCTTTCCAGCAGAGTAATAACATTACTCTATCCAGCAAAGCTTTCAGTTAGAATGGAAGGGCAAATAAAGTGCTTCCCAGAGAAGGTCAAGTTAAAGGAGTTCATCATCACCAAGCCCTTCTTATATGAAATGTTAAAGGGACTTATCTAAGAAAAAGAAGATGATATAAAATATGAACAGTGAAATGACAACCAACTCACAACTATCAGCAACTGAATCTAAAAACAAAAACAAAAGCAAACTAAGCAAACACTAGAACAGGAACAGAAGCACAGAAATGGAGATCACATGGAGGGTTATCAATGGGGAGTGGGAGGGAGGAGAATGAGGGAGAAGGTACAAGGAATAAGAAGCATAATTGGCAGGTACAAAATAGACAGGAAGATGTTAAGGTCACTATAGGAAATGGAGAAGCCAAAGAACTCATGTATACAACCCAAAAACATGAACTAAGGGGTGAGGGGAGTACTGGAAGGATGGGGGTGCAGGGTGGAGGCTGATAAAGGGAAGGAAAAAATGAGACAACTGTAATAGCATAATCCATAAAGTATACTTTAAAATAAAAGTGTTCTTAAATTAGCTTAAGTTATTGGTGATTTAATATCAATACAAGTGGGAAAGGAGGATGGTAGTTAAAAGACAGTGAGAACATACTGTCTATTTTTATGGCTATTAAAATAGAATGGCTACTAAAATAGGTGAGGAGAATTGCCATAACATTTGCATTATGTGAAACTCATTGATAAGCGTACAATTTCAAATGGCATTTTTCTCTTCAGAAGATAATGGTGAGCAGAGTTATGAAACACATTTCTAGCACAACACAGGATCAGAATGAGTGCCTGAGTGCCATCAGGTCACAAACGTGTTCCAGTTTGGAGGAGGGAAATTCAGGGCTCCAACGTAGGGCTGAGCAATGTTTGCTTCATACTTCTCTTATAGAAGAATAGTATCACTATCTAGAGCATTATGATTGATAGGATTAACTCTTCTGATGTAAGAATTTCTTTTCAGTTCTAATTATGCTACCTACATTTCAAAAGTCATCAGTATATTTTCAGTAATTCTGGATCTGACTATATTATTCTGGATATTGAAAAATGTTTTCAAGTGTAAGAGGAATTTATCATCCTGCCTTTTTGTTTCAGCTATAATTTTCTGAGACAGCAAGATAGTCTAAGGACAGCATTTCTAGACAAGAATTTGTCTAAAGAGGCCAAACCACATCCAAACACTTAGATGTCTACTTTTATAAATAATACAATTAATATCATACAAGATGATATCTAACATATCATGTGCTTATTAGTATTTATCAGAACTGCTTGACTTTAACGTGTCTCATGAGGAGTGCATTTCTCTATGTCCAAAGGCTTTCTTCTCAGCCAGATTCCAAAGTAAAATCTGGGTTTATAAAGGAGATATACTGCTTTGGGAAGACATCATCTTTTGGAAAGAACCTCTTTAGCCAATCCTGGTCATAAAATTTGCAGTCATTATGTTTTGATGATAATTTTTAACACAAAGGTTCTTCCTCTTCCCAGTTAAAATTACACATCAAGTTTACTGAGACTATTAGTCTTTTTTTGTAGTCATTTTGATTCTGATCATACTAGAATGGATATGGACAAATCTATTTCTATTGCTAAAGAAGTCTTTGTCCTTCACTATTTGCTGCCCATTTTTCTGAGATAACAACAAGCCTAATTTTTATGTTGTAGTATTTCTGGACCATGCTTTGTCTATAATATCTTTGACAAACCAAAATGTTTACTATAGCACCTATAATATACTGAGCGCCTGATATGAAATGCTTACCAGAACTGCTTGCCTCTTGACAAGGAGGTGGTGTGCTGTCCAGTGACTTGTTAGGATTGTAATTCTTTACATCCAAGAGTCTCCTTTCTTTGATAGATTCCCATACAAAATCCAGGTTTACAATGTGGATATGGTGCTTTTGGATAGACTTAAGTTGGTACTGACTCAGAACATCAGCACTGTCTAAGATTATATGTGTACACTAAGAAAAAAGAATCATTATGCATTAGTAAAAACAAAATTTTAATGGTTTTGTACCTGTAATTTTCACCCTTGAAAAGTCCTGTTGGAGAGTAATTTGTAACAATTTTTCCCAGATTTCTAAAACTCTTATAAATAGTAGAATTGTTACATTAAAGTTTAAAAAAATGAAGTCTTTAAAGAGTGTGGATATGGATGTACCATGACTGATTAACCAATCCTAGAGGTCATTTCCAAATTTTCACTCCTCTAAACAATGTGCTGAATATCTTCATATATAGTTCTTTGTACAACTTATTTTTTTCCTTAGGGGTGGAATAGAAGTTTTAAAGGGTATTCATTGTTATGTATTTTAATTTGTTAATTTGCAATTTTATTAACTTATTTAAAAATAAGTAGTATATGTATATTGTAGACCAGTTAGAAAGTAAAATTACAATAAGTTAATTTATTCCCCATCATTTCTCCAGGTTCCTGTCCCCGGAGGCACCTGCTGTAGCTGTTCTCAGCTATGCTTTGCAGAGCTATCCTACGTAGATAACACACATACAAGTACACAGCCCTCTTATAGCCGCAGATAGCAGCACACTAGACACGCAGCTTTTCCACTTAACAACTTATTTTGGAGATCATTCCTCATCATTACATACTGTGCTAACTCCTTCTGGCAAAGCAACTGCTGAAAAGATTGAAGTCCATATGTGAGAGACTCCATAAGTGAGAGCCCATGTTGATATTCTCTGTGCAGAAGGTACACTGAGAGGGTCTAAGGGGCATGAACTATTATTCATCATCTACAGAAATGGTAAGACAAGTCAGTGAGAAAAGTTGTATAAGGGAAGTACAGACAATTCTGCCTGACCTGGAGGAAAACAGGGCCATGCCATTTCTAATATTCATGGGCAAACTACCAAATGCTAGAGAAGCACCCAGCATCCAGCCAGAGTTGACTGTGCTTCAGGGAACAAACCCAGCTCCCGTAAGCAAGCTCAGGGTTCTGGTCCAGGAAAGGGCAGCCCCATCAGCCTGCTAACACAGGGAAGAGCACACACAGGCCAGGGCATGCACTTGTATGCAACCTAAAGACCTCGAACTTCAATTTTTACTTCTTATGATGAGGTGGTTAAAACAGAGCAGGGTAACCATTGTTATTTTCAAGATTTCATCCAGCTATGAAATTCCATATCTAAACTGTCAGACCTACAGTTCAAGAGAGAAGGTAGCTTCCTTCCACCTTTAAATAAACAAAGAGTACAAAAGATCAGTTTACAATGCATGTTTTTTTTTTCTGTCCCCTAGGAGCAACCCTTATGGGTGCCACTCCAGTGGTGACATACTGGAGAGTGATAGCAGTGCTTCTGGCAAACGCTGCACATTCTAACTTTTCTCCTTTGAGAACAGATTTGGCTGGTTTGATATTACCTCTATAGATGTCATCGGCTATGCTCTAATGATATCAGATTCACAGGGCAAGTAGGTTTGCCTACAGCTCACAGGAACAGGGAAAGACGGGATTGGGTGGCCTTCCCTGCTCTGCCTTTCTCCAGTCCAGATTCCGTGAGCCATGTCACTCCCGTCTTTGCCGACTGCCTGCTGCCAGTCGTCTCTGCCTACTCCTCTCACCACCACCTGCACTCCCCTCAGGCACAATGTCTATCAGAGAAGAGTTCTTAGGAAACTTGCAAATACCTGAGGATTTAATAAAAAGGAAACATTTCCACCATTTTCCTTAATGTCAGTTTGTAGCTTTTTCTTCTGTTGAAGAGGTAAGTGCTTGACTTTCAAACAGAAGGTACAATTTGCGAAGACTCCCAAAGTCATCCTGTAGGAAAAGAAGTTTCAACTCACAGCTTTTAAGAATTTTCTTTCCAATGAATATAAATGTCCATGAATTTAGAATTGTTCTACATGCAAACTGTGGGTTGGACATTATTTTTAAAAAAGAGAGAGACTGAAATCATAGTATAATCACAATAGTTGAATATTACCTGTTTGCCATATGTATTTTGCTTTTAGAATCATTTCTAGCTTTTATGTCTGATATTATGACACCTGAAGATCCTTTTCTATAGACTTGATATACATTTTAAGAGAAATGTGACAGATTTCAGTTATAAATCAAATGTGATTTAAGAATACAGAAGCATTAAAATGTAAAAAATAAATAAACATTAATTTCTAAATTAAACATTAACATTATGATAATGTTATAGTGATAGTGAAACCATGGATTTTTTTTAATTGTATTTATTTATTTTTAGACAGAGGGAAAGAGAGGGAGAAAGAGAAGAAGACACATCAATGTGTGGTTGCCTCTCACGTGCCCCCTACTGGGAACCTGACCTGCAACCCAGGCAAGTGCCCTGACTGGGAATTGAACTGGTAGCCCTTTGGTTTGAAGTTTGGCTCTCAATCCACTGAGCAACACCAGCCAGGGCAAACCATGGATTTTTATGCATAAGTCTTCTACAGTGACATTAGTTAATTTGGGTTTCTCATAAGCCATTCTAGAGATAAACTGTACAATTAGTAATAAAAACATACAACTTATAGTCAAATGGAAATATATGTATATATATTTAAAGTTAATTTCTTTTATCTTTACACATATAGAAAGACTTCTAAGAAAAATGAAGCATATTGGTGAATCGAAAGAAACATTATGTGTATGTTACAATAAACTAATTAAATGGTGAGATATTATGTTTAATTAACAGTAGTTATTTGTCAATTTTTAAAAACTGAAACGATCTCTAACAGGTGGGGTTTGGTGAAAAGTAGTTCTTGGGTCTGATACTCACTTAACGAAGGTTAGTAAGGAGTTTCCTCGCAGGACAACTAGGCCTGCCATCTCCAAGGGTGCCTACCAGGAGCAGTCCCTGAGGACATGGTTACAGTTCGTGTTCCTCCTACTCCTCCTGCCCAAAAGGTCCTGATCTCCCCAGCAGACTAGAACCTTCACTCTTGTCCCTTTACCTGAGCAATGGTGCCCATTCCTCAAGGCCCTACATGCCATCAATAAGCAGACAACACCCAGTTTAGGACAAAATGCCCATTGTCTCCCAAATGCTCATACCTCAGACATGCCAAGTCCCCAGTCTAGGGCTCCCCTTGTTCCTTTTGGAGGTGGCTGCTGTGTCCAGCTGGCTGCTACCCTTGATCATCACTGCCCCTAAATACAGCTGGAATCTATCCCTGTTCTCCATTTCCAATGCCACCGGGGCCCATGTCCCATCAGTAAAGTCCTGACTTCTCTCCCCACTTCTGCTCCTTTCTGCCTCTAATCTCTTCTCCACGCTGTAGCTTGAGTAACCTTTTTCAAAAGTATTTTTATTTTATTTTTTAAAGATTTTATTTATTTATTTTTAGAGAGAGGGGAAGGGAGGGAGAAAGAGGGAGAGAACCGTCAATGATGTGCGGGAGAAATATTGATCGGTAGCACACCCTCAACGGGGGACCCGGCCTGCAACCCAGGGATGTGCTCCAAGTGGGAATTGAACCAGTGACCCTTCAGTGTGCAGGATGTCGCCCAATCCACTAAGCCAGGAACTTTTTTTTATTCCATTTCAAATGAAATTCAAATTTCTTATGTTTCAAGGCCTAGCCTCTCTTCCCAGCATCATCCTACACACCACTCCCATTCTGCCCTGGCCACACTGGCTTCTTCTTCAGGCTGGCCACAACCTTAACCTTGGTCCTCAGGGCCTTCACACATGTAGTTCCTTCTTGCTGGGACTCTTTCCCCCTACACTCCCCCTACACTTGTATTCCATTCAGGACCTAGTAGACGCTTTCCAACAAATGAACATATTAGGAGTTCACTTTTTCTTTTCTTATCTGATCTAGTTAAACTGAAGTCCAGTGATTTAACTCTGCCTTTCTGTAGCATTAACATTTACTAATTTCATGTGTTGTCTTTTACATTCCAAATGACTCACAATTATCATGTTTTGTAGATGAGAGATGATAATGAATACTGTGAAAGATATTAGACCATCCTATTTAGATTAACCTATTTTGCTTTTAAACTCTGACAGTTAAAAAATCAAAGAACATATGAACAAAACTGTCCAATAAATCTTTAGCAATTTCCAAGACAGTCTCTAAACTGGAGGAGGCCGGCTGCCCAGCTCTACCTCTCCAGATAAGTGAGTCTTCCAGCCATCAGACTCTGGCTTAGGGACACACCCCAAAGTCCCGGGAAACTCTCTGCCTCCCTTTCACAAATCCTGGCAACTCTATCCAGAAATCATGGTGGCAGCTGGGAGCCTCCCCAGTAACCCTCAGGCTCCGATCCAGGTCCCATGGGGCTGGGGCCTCCCCAATACCCCCAGCAGGCAGCTGTAGTCACACAAAGTCCCTATTACCACGGGCTGTTCTCTTAACTCTTAGTTTCTCCAGGAGGGCAGATTTCAGGGAAGGGCTGCATCTTTTTGACCTTTATATCCCTGGGCTCTAGGCTACACAATAAGCACTCAGTAAGTGCCAGGGCACACAGTAGGCATTCAATAAATGCTTGCTTACTAAAAATTCACTCATCCATTAAAGCTAGGATTACAGAAGGGCCTTCTGAAACTATTAGCATATTTGGACCCAAATGGCGTCACTTCTGCACTTCCCTAAGGGGACTATTGAACCCCTTAAAAGAAACGCCACCCACTCTTGTGCTTCTCCAACTCCAGCGGCACATCACAGCTCTGAACACACAGGAACTTGTAAGTGCTCACTGAATATACGCTCAAGTAAGTGCACTTCGGTGTCTGCAACACGCACAAACTTGCAGTGAATTTCTCCTTTATTCTAACACAACATTCTATAGATCTTTATGTTTACTGTCATTTTGTAACCCAGAGTGGAAAGGCTGAACACTGGGCAGAGCCCTGCTTTTCTAGAAGCTGAAATTGAACGAATCTGCCTCAGCAGGGATTACTGATCTCATTACCAGGTTTTCGACACTGGACTTCTTCACCTGATAGCACATAGCGTTCCCAATTATTCACGGTATTCCCCGATTGTCCACCAAAATCCTGAACTTTTGCAAAAGTCCGCTTTGAACCCCAAATTTCATAAGACAGACACGCCGTTTGGCTCTTCGGAAACGAAAAATGCGGATCGCCGGAGCGACCGGCTAGTTCCGGGAGACCCAGGGCTGCACACCACACCCCAGACTGTCTCGTCTTCCGACCCGCACCCCAGGCTGCCAACTCAGGACACCCCGCGGCGCCCACTCACCTGCCAAAGGCTCGGGCCTCTCCAGATGCCTTCGGACTCTGGGGTCTTCTTCTCTGGGCGCTCCCGGGCTCGTGACTCCCCTCTCCCGCTGACCTCCGCGGAGCAAAGGAGCCCTCGGAGCTCCGCCCCGCCAGGCCGCGCCCCGGCCGGGCCTAGTTCTCGGAGCCAAGTCCGTGTTCCCAGCGGTAAGGCCGCGGCTGCGCAGGCCCGCCCTCTCCTCCCGGACCAGTCCCAGGGATGGGTTTTTTCTGTTTCAGTTTTCAGGCCCCATTTTGCCAATGGGCGGGGCGGTGACTCCAAAGTTAGAATTTGGGACTAGTGGGTGCTGCTATTTAATTGAGAAGTGAGGGTGATTTCCCGAGGGCTGGAAAGAAGCAATTTTCGGAAGGGTTTAGAGTTGGGGAAACAGGAGGTTAAAATAATGAATTTAGTTTAAGGACTTCCAGAGTTTGAAATTTGCCGTAGTGTTTGTTCCTAAGGAGTTAGAAATACAGATCTGCCATTCCCGAGATGGGGGTCATTGCAGATTTATTGAGCAGACGGTAGTGCGAAAGAATAAAATTCCATAGATAATGAAGAAAATGAGAATAGAAAAGGTGTAGAAAGGTTACAGATCCAGACTTTAAGACATGCACATCTCAGTAATGTTGCAGTTTGGGCTCCAGACCACTGCAATAAAGCCAGTATCACAATAGTCACATGAATTTTTAGGTTTCCTCATGCATATGAAAGTTATCACACTATATCGTTAGACTGGACAAAGGTCTCAGGTGTGGGTGGTTCTGACGGTGCTGTGGTTACTAAATGTTAACATGTAGCACAGTATTTCTCAGATGCAACTGTAATGGGATGAGCTTGACCAAGCACCCAACCTCATTACTTTAGCCAACTGCCAAGAAGAAAATATAATTAACTGAATAGTGTTTGTAAGCCATGGCCAAGCATCTCTTCTGGAAGACAGCTTTGGTTATGAATCTTGTCTCCTTTACGTCCTGCAAGTAAATAAAACTACCTAACAACCACCATGTCTCGTTTTATTTTTTAATTAAATTAAATTTTGTTTTGTTTTGTTTTAGGAAGAGGGGAAAGGAGGGAAAAAGAGAGGAAGAGAATTAATGATGTGAGAGACAAACCCTGACCTTCTGTACTGGTGACTGCAGACCAAACCTGCCTCTTGACCAGGAAATGAGCCTGCAAGCTTTCCTTTTGCAGGATGGTGCCCAACCACTGAGCCACACCACTGGGGCCATGTCTCATTCTTGAATACCACACCCCAAGCAGTGACCCCCCCTTGAGTTTGGTAACAATAGTATAGTCTATTAAGTGCATAATAGTGTTATGTCTTTAAAAAATGTACATACCTCAATTTAAAACAAACTTTTGTTAAAAAATGTAAATTTGTTAAAAATGTAAAATTTTTGTTTAAAAGTTTTTTTATTTTTGTTTATTCTATTACAGTTGTCCCAAATTTTCCCCCTTTACCTTTCTCTGACCAGTCCCCCCACCCTGCCCGCTTCCACAGTCTGTCCCCACACAGTTAGTTGTCAATGTCCATGGTCATCCATACACGTTCTTTGACTAATCCCTTTCCCTTCTTTCCATGATTCTCCCCTACCCACCTTTTCCTCTGGCAGCTGTCAGTATGTTCCCTGTTTCCATGTCTCTGGGTCTGTTTTGGTTGTTAGTTTATTTTGTTCATTAAATTCCTCTTATAAATTAGATCATATGGTATTTGTCTTTCATGGACTGGCTTACTTCACTTAGCATAATACTCTGATTCCACTCCTGCTGTCGCAAAGGGTAGGAGCTCCTTCTTTCTTTATGCTGCATAGAATTCTGTTGTGTAAATGAACCACAGTTTTTTTACTCCATTCATCTACTGATGGGCACTTAGGCTGTTTCCAACATTTGGCAGTTTTAAAAACTTTGCTAAAAATGTTTGTAAATTTGTAAAAAAAGGAGGTTGCTAGAAAAATGTTTATCATCATCTGAGCCTTAGATGAGTATAATCCTGTTGGTGGTGGAAGATCTTGCCTTGACACTGATGACTCTTGACTGATAAGGTGGTGTTTGCTGAAGGCTGGGGTAGCTTAAAATGTCTTATTTTAGTGTCTTATTAAAATGTCTTAATGTCTTTTTAAAATGTCTTATTTTAATGTCTTAAAACAACGGTGAAGTTTGCTGCATGGATTGACGCTTCCTTTTATGAATGATTTCTCTGTAGCATATGATGCTGCATGATGGCATTTTATATACAGTAGAAGTTGCTTCAATGTTGTGGCTAGTTTGATCTTCTATTGAGACCACTAAAACTTTTTTCCATATCAGCAATAAGGCTGTTCATGGGAGTAGCACTTTTAATTTACTTCAACAACTTCTCTTTTACATTCTCCACTTGGCTGTTTGGTGTAAGAGAACTAGCTATTAGCCTGTATCAGCATTTGACATGCCTTCCTCACTCAGCTTAATTATTTCTAGCTTTTGATTGTAGGTGAGAAACATGTGACTCTTCCTTTCACTTAAAAAACACCGTGATCCATCTATATGTTATCTAGAAGAAATTCACCTTCAATCCAAACACAAAAATAGGTTGAAAGTGAAATGATGGGGAAAAGATATTCCATGCAAACAGTAACCAAAAGATACCAGAGAAGGCTAAACTAATGTCAGACAAAATAGATTTTAAATGAAAAATTCTTACAAGAGATAAAGGACATTATATTTTAATGAGTCAATATATCAAGAAGATAAAACAATTATAAATATAAATATAAGTATAAATACATGTATATCAAGAGAGCCCCAAAATATATGAAGCAAAAATTGGCAGAATTGAAGGCATAAATAGATAGTACTACAGTAATAGCTGGAGACTTCAGAACACAGCTTTCAATGTGTTATAGAACGGACCTGGTGGGGGGTATGTGAATGATATGCTATTACTAATGGACCCACACTTGTGCTCCAGGGGTCCCCCACCCTGTACTAGATTCACCTTGTCCACTGTCAAGGAAAGACATCTCTCAATTCCAGAGATTGGTGAAAAGGAAAGGGATTATTTATTTAAAGAGTTATATCAATTTAAGAGTAATAACTTAATGTCTTCATTGAGATCCCAAAGTCCTTTAGAATACCCACAGTCCTTCCTTCCCCCTCTGTCCAGTCTGGGGTACTGTATCTCATAAAAAGAAGTAGAAGTCCATGGTTCTTTTCTGCTCAAGGCACCTGGTCCCAAAAAGATGTCACATAGCTGTCGCACCTGGGTTTAAATCTCAGTGCCCATCTTCCTCTGCCACACCATTTCCAACTCCTCCCACAATTGGCCACAGAGGCCAGCATTCCCATATTTTTCCAGCTTTACTGAGCTGCCATGGTAGGTCCAGGCAGGTGTGGCCCTGTGGTATGGAGCCAATCATCTCCAAGCTCTTATGCAGGTACTGTAACCAGGGGGGGTTGCCTTGCAGTTACATCATGGGTTGAAGTCACTCCCATACCCCTGCCTCAAAGTATGGCCACAGCTATTTAACAAATCTATGAAACCAGTTAAAGTTTATAGGTATGTTAAATGACCATTCTAGAGGTTATCTGCAGAACTGTTGCTATGCAAAACAGCTCTCAATGGCCCTGCTCCATGTGTCCCATCCCCCAGCTTAAACTTGTAGGGGTGAGAACATCCTATATATATATTTTTCTAATATTTCCTGGACACCCAGTTGTGGACCCTATCACAAATCCCTATTTCCCCACCCCTTGGCTGCACCCTGTTACAAATAGAAAACAACTAGAGAGAAATTAATAAGGAAAAAGACTGTGTAAACCAAAGAGACCTAAAAGACATATACAGAACACTTCACACAATAGTGGTAGAATATATACTTTCTTTTTTTTTTCATTAAAAAAATATTTTTTATTGATTATGCTATTACAGTTGTCCAATTCCCACCTTCACCCCCCTCTGCCATGCACACCCCCTCCTACCCACATTTCCCCCCTTTAGTTCATGTCCATGGGTCATACATATAAGTTCTTTGGCTTCTATACTATTCTTACCTTCCCCCTGTCTATTTTCTACCTACCGTCTATGCTACTTATTCTCTGTACCTTCTCCCCTCTGACCTCCTCCCACTCCCCTATTGCTAACCCCCCATGTGATCTCCATTTCTGTTCTAGTTATTTTCTTAGTTTGCTTTTGTTATTGTTTTAGGTATTGTTGTTAATTATTGTGAGTTTGCTATCATTTTACTGTACATGTTTTTCATCTTCCTCTTCCTAGATAAGTCCCTTTAACATTTCATATAATAAGGGCATGGTGATGATGAACTTGTGTGATTTAACTAACCAACAGGTCCCTCTAGGAGAAGGGCCAGTTCTCCCTGGGAGAGAACATGCCTATATTTCATTCTTACAATAAAGGTCATGGCTCTGGCGTAAACAGGGAGGATTCTCAATGTTCCTTTAGCTCATCACATGAGTATGCCCATCTAGGCCAAACAATTAATAAGGAGCAATTAACTACCTCAATGTTCTTTGTCAGTTGAGAGATGTAATATGATGAAAACAACTGCAGGAATGGGCATCTGGTGATTGGCAGCTTCATCATGACAATGCACCTGCTCACGCATCATGTCTTTTGTAGAGTTTTTTTTGTGAAACATCAAGTTACCCAAGTGACTCAGCCCCCCTACAGCCCAGATTTGATACCCGGTGACTTCCGACTTTTCCCAAAACTAAAATCACCTTTGAAAGGGAAGAGATTTCTTACCATTCATGAAATTCAGGAAAATATGACAGAGCAGCTGATGGTGACTGGGAGAAATGGTGTGAAGTTCCAAGGGACTTACTTTGAAAGGGACTGATGCATTGCTGTCTTATGTATAATGTTTGTTTCTTGTATCTTCTTCAATAAATGTCTCTATTTTTCATAGTACTTGGTTGGATACTTTCTGGACAAACCTTGTCTATGTTTTGGCTACTATATTCTCTATGCTGTGCTTTACATCCCCATGACTATTCTGTAACAACTAATTTGTACTTCTTAATTCCTTCACCTTTTTTGCACATCCTCCAACCCCCCTCCCATCTGTCAACCACCAAAATTTTCTCTGTATTTAAGATTGATTCTA